AAAACGATCATTTGAGGGATTTATGCTTTTTAATTTATTTAATTCAATTTATGACAATAACATTGGCGGGGCCAGTCCGCCATGCAAAAAATTTGAATCGAGTCACCCCGATTCTCCCACGTGAGAATTGGTCCATAACAATAAAAACAATTAAAAACTAATAACAAACAAAGTAGCAAAAAAAAAAATGTGCAGAAATTGGCCCTTTCGACTGGTCTGGATTGTGCTGACGAAACCGTGTGCTGTTAATCCCAATGAAAATAATAATAAATAAATAAAATTGAAATCGTTGAACAACTTACTCGAATTTGTCCTTAAATCACACGAGGGACCTAAGATTTCATACCAAATCCTATAGACCAAGCCATCCAGTGACAGGCTACCTTGAGAATCCTCTCCGTGAATCTCCTTCACCTTTTTTCTATCCTTCTCTATCTACTCTAGAGGGGTTAACCTCCTTTTATAGAACACTTTTATTTAGTGACTCTCACATTTATGGTCTATAGGAGTTAAGATCCAAATATAACTTCTACCTTAATTCCCGTAAGTGCAGCTAATTAGAATTAACAAGTTGTCACCAAACTATTAATCCTATGTAATGAGCTAAATCTGTCATTAATTCACTAATGACTCATATAATGGGATGTCATCTAAGCATTCCCACAATTTACAAGGAATCCAAACACACCATTGAGTTTTCCCTCCACTGATACTAAGTTTTTTCCTCCAGTGATACATCCTATTAAAGCTACAAAATGGATCAATATATATGGCATTGACTCATGTTAACCACATGGGATTTCACATATACTTCAATATGGCTTTTATATCATTATTGAAAAATAATGAATTTTTGACAGAAAAAGGGCCTGATAGGCCACATTTCCAACAGGTGCCTCCTTTAGAACGATAACAATTGGTTGTTCCCACTAGTAACAAGGTTGGTCTAAACTGATTCATAGTCCATATTGGTCATTCCCAATCCAGATTACCAAGTCTTGAAACACTCTTTAAGAACCTGATAAATAATTCTTAGAATCGTAGTAGTTTCAAGTTTTATCTTCTTAATTTTGAATAATTTATGGTTACTACGTGTAGCGTTGAAGAAGATACTACAAAACACCTATATATATAGAAGATACTACAAAACGTCTATAGACGAAAATGAACAGTAATTTCACCTACCTTCACCACCGTTCAAAGTTCATCACACGATCACGATTGTCAGGCAGTATTTCATTTTTAATTTTTTTTCTAAAAATCAAATAACCTAAAAAACTCCTCCCAACGCCTATAGGCGAAAATGAACAATGATTTCGCCTACCCTTATCGTCATCCAAACTTTATTGTACGGTCACAGTTGTCCGGTAGTGTTTCAATTTTCATTTTTTTTGTTACACTATACAGTCAAGTAATTTGGAGCATGTGTACATCTTAGTGAGGCGTACTTAATAAAAATATGAAAATAACCCAAAATTTTATGAGGGCATTTTGATCAATTTATTTTTTACAAATTATTTTTTTATATTTTTATTTGGCTCTCCTCACTAAGATTTCCACGCGCTCCAAATTTCAGATCATTTCGATAAGTAAAAACAAAATGAAAATTGAAATACTACCGGACAACTGTGACTGTGCAATGAAGAATGAATGGTGATGAGGGTAGGTGAAATCGATGTTCATTTTTTCCTAGGGTGAGCCCATGAGCTCATGGAACAGTGTAAGCTCAACAGCCCAGATTGAATCTGGGCCGATTTGACAGTCAAGATTGTATATCGGTAATATAATTTTAATATTTTTTATATAAATCTAAATAGTACTAAATTTAAGGCATAAACTCTTCTTATCAACTTGCACCTAATAAAAATATTAAAAACAATAATTCACATAAAATACATTGACCAAAATACCTCCAAAATTTTTCAAGGGTATTTTGGTAAATTTCATATGTACGAATTATTTTTTTT